GGGGTCTGCCTTCAAGAGATCAGACTTGGGAACAAACTGCTACCACACAGCATAATTGCTTTGAAGGGAAGTGGGTGGAAGGTACCTTGCAACTATCAGAAAACATGAAACCAAGCATTTCCACTTAGCAAATGCCAGGCTCTGAACTAAAATCTATATGGTACATTATTTCCCTCATTCAATCCTCATGACAACCCCATGTGGTGGTAAGAAACTTGCCTAAGACCACAACCAATATTTGAGCCTAGCTTATCCAGTCTTCTGGTACCAACGCAGAAAGCTACACAGAGACACAACAGCTGATACAGTGAGTCCTTGTCAGTATGTCCAGCCACTTCTCTATGCTCTGTTAACAAGTTAAAAGCCATAATAGCCAATATAAAAACTGATTTAAAAAATTTAGATGTTGAGTATGTAATGCATTCACATGTTTTTCCTCTGCATGTTTTTCTTGAACAGAGACGATGCATTCTCATGGTTCAAACATTTTAAAAAAGTAAGCAGTTACAGTTAAAAGTCTCCTAATCCTGTCTTCTATTGGCTCATAACCCGGATTGCCAAAAAAGTAATGCCTCTTTTAAGTATTTTATTTGTATGAACATACAAAGAAAAACATATATATTCTTACTTGGCATCTTTTTTTTCCTCACAAAAGATAGTATACCATACACACCATTCTGCACCTTATTTTTTCAGTTAGTGATATACATATATATTGAAGATCTTTCTGTATCATCAGTACATAATTGGCAGCATAGTATTCCATTTCATGGATACACTATAATTTATTTGGCCAGTTATTTATTGATAGACATTTGGATTGTTTCCAATTTTTTTTAAATTTTTTTTCAACGTTTTTATTTATTTATGGGACAGACAGAGACAGAGCATGAACGGGGGAGGGGCAGAGAGAGAGGGAGACACAGAATCGGAAACAGGCTCCAGGCTCCGAGCCATCAGCCCAGAGCCTGACGCGGGGCTCGAACTCACGGACCGTGAGATCGTGACCTGGCTGAAGTCGGACGCTTAACCGACTGCGCCACCCAGGCGCCCCATGTTTCCAATTTTTTACTACTATAAACAATACTGCAATGCAGAGTCTCATACATAGGTCAATTAGCACGTGTGCAAGTACATCCTCAGAGTGAATTCCTAGGAGTAGTGTTTATTGCTGGGTCAAAGGATAGATGTATTTGTAATTTGGATAGATATTGCCAAATTGTCCTCTATAGGGATTAAATCAATTTACATTCCTACTCGCAATGGATGAGAGCACCTGTTTTCCCACAGCCTCTCAACACAGAGTGTTAGGAAACTTCTGGTTATTTGCCAATCTAATGACTGAAAAATGGTACTGCAGCATTCTTTTCATTATAAGTAAAGTTGAACTCCTTTTTATGTTTAAGAATTTGTATTTCCTTCTCTCTGAACTGTCTATTCACATCCTTTGTCCATTTTTCTCTTGTTGGTTTTTTTCCCCCGGATTCAATAGGAGCTTTTTCTACACAAAGGAGTTTAGCTTCTGCCTATTCCCTAAATTGCAGCCACTTTTCCGTAATATTGTGTTAGAAGGTCTAAGCAAGGCAACCAAACATGTATTGGATACGATATAAAAGTATTCAAAAGGAGAAGGTGATATATCATTATTTAAACATGATTATGTAGCTAGATAACTTTAAAAATTGATTCAAATTAATAAAATCAATTGAATATTTACACATAAAGGAAATGGAAAATAGTGTTGGGTCCAATAAGAATATAAGATAAAATGCATATAATAAGACCATTTCTATGTAGTAGGAATAAGAAAACATGAAAAAGAGACTTTCTTTATAATAACTACACAAAATACAAAGTACCTAGTAGAAGTAATTTTGTAAGAGTATGACCTATATGAAGAAAAATATAAAACTTTATTCAAGTCTTCATTATTAAAAGAAGACTTGCATAAATAGAAGCAGACCAGGTTATTAGATGAGGAAATTACATATTTGAAAGTGACCACTTATCAAATTATTTTTTAATGTTTATTTATTATTTTGAGAGAGAGAGAGAGAGAGAATGTGTGTGTGCACACACGAGGAGAGGTAGGGACAGAGAGAGAGGAGAGGGAAAATCCCAAGTAGGTTCCATGCTGTCAGCACAGAGCCCGACGCAGGACACGAACTCATGAACTGTGAGATCATGACCTGAGCCGAAATCAAGAGCCCAACGCTTAAACAACTGAGCCACACGGGCACCCCTATCAAATTATTTCATAGGTTTAATGCCATTAAAGCAAAACTATATAACTTAAAATTTGAGCAAGTATTAAGTTCATGTATAAAAATAACAAATCAAGGATATACACATATACATGTGTTTTAATTCTAAAATCAAAAGAGTCGTAAGGGTAGATTTCACTCTAACAGATTTTAACATATATTATAATGCAATAATAAATCAAATAGTGTGGTTTAAGTGCAAGATTAAACAGATAAATCAGTAGCCCAGAAATATACTCAACTGTAAATAGGAAGACGATATATAATAACAAGAGGTAAACAACATAATAGGGAAAACTTTGTAATTCTAATAAAAACTATTGCTTATGTGGAATATACTCTCTGCCTAGAACTCTTTTAAATTCCTTAAGTATATCAATCCAATTAATTGTCATTTCATTTTAATCCTATTAGATGCTACTTAACTAATGAGGAAAATGAGGCACAAGGAGGGTAAATAACTTGTTCAAGGTCATCCATATAGCTAGAAAGTGACAGGGCAGGACTTAAACCCAGGCAGTTTGGCTCCAGAGTTTGTGGTCTTAATCATTTGTAACTAGGATAACTGATTACAGTTTGTAAAAAGGAAAAAAAATAAGAATACAGGCAAAAAATACTATACTGATGCATAATTTTTGAAAAATTTTAAAAGTAATCCCTACACCCAACATGGGGCTCGAACTTACAATTCCAAGATAAGAGTTGCATATTCCACCGAATGAGCTAGCTAGGTGCCCCAATGATGCATATTTGAAAGTCTGCTATAGAATGTCATAAAGCCTCTACCATGTAATTCCTCTGCTTTGCTCTCTACATTTCTGTGTTCTTTGAAGCCTTCTACAATTATAAATCCTTTTATAATTTAAAGAACAAAATAGAATAATTTGGGACAGTGTAGATGCAGATTCTCAGGTGTATGGAAGTTATTAAAAACAGCAGGGTGAAAAAATACCCAGCAGAGTGTTCAGCCAATAGAATTGAATAAAGTTTGTCAAGAAAGGACAAATGGAGGCACCTGGGTGGCTCAGTTGGTTGAGTGTCCAACTCTTGATTTTGGCTGAGGTCAGGATCCTGGGATCAAACCCTGCATCAGGCTCCACACTCACCATGGAGCCTGCTTGAGATTCTCTCTCATCTCTCCCTCTGCCCCTCTCCACTGCTCATTAACGTTTATTATTTATAAATGTTATAAATCCGTTATAAATCTGAAGCAGGTCCCAGGCTCTGAGCTGTTAGCACAAAGCCCCACACAGGGCTCAAACCCACAAATTGCGAGATCATGACCTGAGCTGAAGTTGGACACTTAACTGACTGAGCCACTCAGGCGACCCTCTCTCTCTCTCTCTTTTTTTTTAATAGGCTTCATGCCCAACATGAATCTCATGACCCTGAGATTAAGAGTCACATGCTCTACAGACTGAGCCAGCCAGGTGCCCCAGTGTGTGTGTGTGTGTGTGTGTGTGTGTGTGTGTGTATGTGTATATATATATATATACATGTGTGTGTGTATATATATATATATATATGTGTGTGTGTGTGTGTGTTTTACATATATATATATATATATATATATATATGTGTGTAAAGGACAAATGGAATGATCTAGTAAACCCAAACTCTTATGTAAACTCTATATTAAAAACTATTCTAGTAAACAAAGTGTATTTATCAGCAACTTTCCTTTATTTTAAATTTCTGCACATAGTCCTCACACACCCCTGTCACTCCTCCTTTCCCACAAGAATATGTAGGAAGCCATTACAAAGCTGAAACAGTAACTCCAACCCATTACTAACAACCTCAAAGTTTGGGGGCACCTGGGTGGCTCTCTCAGTCGGTGAAGCATCCGACTTTGACTCAGGTCATGATCTCACGGCTTATGGGTTCGAGGCCAGCATTGGACTCTGTGCTGACAGCTCAGAGCCTGGAGCCTGCTTCGGATTCTGTGTGTGTCTCTCTCTGTGCCCCACCCCCGTTCAAACTCTGCCCCTCCCTCTCTCAAAAATAAATAAACATTAAAAAAAAACCTTATAAAAACCAAACTCATAGTTTCATAGTTACATTAGGTAAAATCTGAAATGAAAAAAATACTCAGTTCACTAACTCAGTAAAGTATGATAAAAAATCCATTGAAAAAGAAGAATGTCTTAACCTCCATCATATTAGAGAGACAGACAACTCCAGCTGCTGAATTCGTTAAGTTCTGATTCTGGTTAGTCCCTATGAATAAAGCCTCATGGTGACAGATTCATCTCTTTCATTTTTACCAATATCAGAAAGCTTATGAGTTGATTTCACTCTTTATTTCTTAACTGTGGAGTTTTTAAAAGCAAACTCTAGTGGGGGGGGGGGGGGGGAGGGAAAACCAGCAAAGTAAGTTCTTCATCAGGCTTATGCCTTCTTTGAATGTTGTAACTCTTTATGCTAGAGGTAGCAGAAAGAGCATTGGAGCTGGAATCAGAAAAAGGGTGACATAATCAACATTGGTCAGTATATGTCTTTTTAAAAATTTTTTTAATGTTTATTCATTTTTGAGAGACAGAGCCCAAGCAGGGGAGAGACAGAGAGGGAGAGAGGGAGACACAGAATCTGAAGCAGGGCCCAGGCTCTGAGCTGTTAGCACAGAGCCCCACGCGGGGCTCAAACCCACAAATCGCAAGATCATGACTTGAGCTGAAGTTGGATGCTTAACTGACTGAGCCACCCAGGCGCCCCTCTTTTTTTTTTTTTTTTAATTTTTTTTTGACGTTTATTTATTTTTGAGACAGAGAGAGAGAGAGAGAGAGAGCATGAATGGGGGAGGGGCAGAGAGAGAGGGAGACACAGAATCGGAAACAGGCTCCAGGCTCTGGGCTGATGGCTCGAACTCACGGACTGCGAGATTGTGACCTGAGCTGAAGTTGGACGCTCAACCGACTGAGCCACCCAGGCGCCCCCCTTTTTTTTTTTTAATAGGCTTCATGCCCAACATGAATCTCATGACCCTGAGATTAAGAGTCACAAGCTCTACAGACTGAGCCAGCCAGGTGCCCCAGTGTATGTCTTGTATATGGTCATGTCCCTCACGTTGAGCCCCAGACTCCTTATCCATGAATAAGGCAGCCCTGCACAGGATCGCTTAGAGGGACAACTGAGCCTGTGTATGTGAAAGTTTTTAAAAAGATAAAGTGCTCCACATTTGCCTTGAATTATGTTTAAAGCCTTCTTGTCAATATTGTTGTCAAGGTAGATGACTGAAAAAGTTGTTTTGTAGGGTGCCTGGGTGGCTCAGTCGGTTAAGCAACCAACTTCAGCTCACGTCATGATCTCACGGTTTGTGAGTTCGAGACCCTCATCGGGCTCTGTGCTGACAGTGTGGAGCCTGCTTAGGATTCTCCCTCTCCTCTCTCTCTGCCCCTCCTCTGCTCTCTCTCTTTCAAAATATATAAATAAAACTTAAAAAAGAAAGAAAAACACAATCCACAAATAAAACCAATACTCAAATGCAGGATTACAAAATTGCAATATATTTCATCTTGTTTCAAACTGATACTATTTTTTCACACTTACAATGATCATTATAATTTGGACATCCTAGTCTCTGACCAAACTTCCCCCCACCCTGCCCTTTTTACTTTCTTTCTTTCTCTTTCTTTTCTTTCTTTCTTTCTTTCTTTCTTTCTTTCTTTCTTTCTCTCTTTCTCTCTCTTTTTCTTTCTTCCTTCCTTTCTTTCTTTCTTTCTTTCTTTCTTTCTTTCTTTCTTTCTTTCTTTCTTTCTTTTTTAATGTTTACTTATTTCTGAGACAGAGAGAGACAGAGCATTAGTGGGGGAGGGGCAGAGAGAGAGGGAGACACAGAATCCGAAGCAGGCTCCAGGCTCTGAGCTGTCAGCACAGAACCTGACACGGGGCTCTAACTCACAAACTGTGAGATCATGACCTGAGCTGAAGTCGGTCGCTCAGCCGACTGAGCCACCCAGGCACCTTGTCCTTTTTTCAACTGCTCTTCACCAGGATTCTTTGACCTCTACTCCCCTTTCTCCTCCTTTTGGCAGAGTTCCTTCCGCCTTTATTTCTTCTTTCTCCAGCCTTTAGCTCTTGGCCCTTTACTTTGACCCCTCTGTTCCCTTGCTTTTCTGTGGTTCCACCTGCAAAGGGTCCCTTGGCACTGACAGGCTGAAGTGTTTCCCATTATCCACAACAGTCTTTTCAAACCTCCACAATCTCTGACCCTCCCACCTCACTCTCCAAGAATGACCTCACCTCCTACTTGAGCTAAAACAGAATGCTAAAAGGAACTCCCCCGACTTCCTGCCACCAAAATAACATCCCTCCTTTCCACCTATTAAGGCTATTTTTTCCCACCTATGCTGTGGATCACACACCACACCCCCTTTCTCTTGGGCTTTGCCCTGTTAATCAACTCTCTCTCTGAATCTTGCATCTCTCTCTGGTTCACGAATCTTTAACATGGTCACTTATAATTCAACAGTTCCATGGAGTCAGCATGAAGGCTCCTGTCCATGACGCTCCTGTGCTCACAGACCTAAGCGTTCTTCTCATTATTCTGGCTCTTTTTGGAGAGCCAATTAAGTTTACCAAAGAAACAGCGACAAATAGCTAGAAGAAATCTCTCTGCAAAGAGTTCTTTTGGAGCTTTTTAATCACCATGGAGTTGACGCTTTGGGTCACGTTTGTGAAATGGAATTACGAGAAGGTTCTTTTTTTGTGTGTGTGTGTAATGTTTATTTCTGAGAGAGAGAGAGAGAGCACAGGCAGGAGAAGAAAGAGAGGGAGACACAGAATCTGAAACAGGTTCCAGGTTCTGAGTTGTCAGCACAGAGCCTGATATAGGGCTCAAACCCATGAACCGTGGGATCATGACCTGAGCCGAAGCCAGCCGCTTAATAGACTGAGCAACCCAGGTGCCTCCAGACAAGGTTCTTTTGAGAGTTTTTCCACTGATGTTTTTGGTTACACAAAAAGGTGGGGAGGAGAAAGGTGGGAATACTTAATCAAGTTACTGAAAATAATATTGGAATAATTGTCAAATGTTATACCAGGATAACAATGAAGAGGTTGGCCCAACTTCTGGATCTGTGGTGAGTCAGATGCATCTCTTGAGAAGCTGGTAGTTAGCAAGACAGGTTGGCAGGAATTAACAATTGTCAGAGACCCAGGGATCCAAATAACCTACTAAATGGTCTCTGAAACTGAATTTGCTGCTATCCACATCTCATAGACAAAGAAGATTTGGAACGTAATCCACAGTAAGGGACTTGACGTCCTAAATATTTTAGAGAAGGCATTTGAATCAGAAGTCATAAAATCAAATGTAGCACAAGATGCCTAGTAGTTTTTTTTTTCTCTATTCTCAAGTCCTTTGTCTAAAATTTAAAAGATAAAATATTTGAGGCTTTTTTGGCTTGTAAATTCTCTAAAGTTTCATTCTCTAGACTCTACTATCAGCCAACCATTCATATGTATTTATTCAGCTTCCTCCACTTAAGTGCACTTAAGATTTGTCTTTGTAACTATTCCTTGTTACCCTTGTATTAAGTTATGTTAGAAAGCAAGAAACCTTGTTGATACTGAAATAGTTTCCTGCCAAAAGCCTTTGCTAAATTAAGATTTAATCTTATGCCCTTAGTTTTTATAGAAAGGTGATTATAAGAAATGTCCTTTCAAAGAAATATTTCCTGTTTCTTTTGCAAAGTCAAATCAAAGACGTCCATTTATTCATTCATTTAACAAATATTTATTGAATCCTGATTACATGCCAGGCTGAGGATACAAACAACGAATGAAACCCAGTCTCTGCTCTGAAGGAGAACACAACCTGGTGAAATGCAAACATATAAATAAATCATAGTGTTAGTGTCTGTAATTAGAGGCATGAATAAAGTGTTATGGGTGCAAAAGGAGGGGAGAGAGTAATTGGGCCTCAGGGCAAAGGAGGGCTTCTCAGAGACAGGCATAAGAAAGTTGGATATTACAGGTTGAGAAGAGCTCTGAACAGGAGTCAAGAAGAGAAAGGCACTCTGGAGCAAGAGCCTGAATACAGATGGGCCAGTAGGAACTTCTAGCTTCGTAAATTTGTAGAATGGTCATTAGGATAGAAAAAGAACACTGGAAGTATCCAGAGAGGAGGCCAGAAAAGTAGGTTAAGGTCCAATTTTAAAGAGACTTGAGGTATAGTGGGTGACATTTACAGGCCCTGGAGGCAGACTGCCCTGTGTAACTAATTTACCACTACAAGCAATGAAATCTGGGGCACCTGAACATCCCAAGCCTTGCCTCCCCATCTGTAAAAAAGGAATTCACTTATCCAACAGGATTTATTGAGCATCCATGATGGGCCATACACATAATAATAATAACACCTGCCTAATAGCCTTGTTGTAAGGATAAGTTAATAAATGTAAAGCATTTTGAGTGGTGCCTGATCCATGGTAAGTGCCAACTAAATGCTTGTTATTAGTATTAATTATTATAATGTTAAAACACCTTCTTTGGGGTGCCTGGGTGGTTCAGTCAGTTGAGTGACTCTTGATTTCGGTTCAGGTCATGATCTCATGATTCGTGAGATGGAGCTCTGTGCTGACAGTACAGAGCCTGCTTGGGATTCTCTCTCTCTCCCTCTTTGTCTGCCCCTCCTCTGCTCGTGTGCTCTCTCTCTCTCTCACTAAATAAATAAATAAATAAATAAACAAACAAACAAACTTAAAAAAAAACAAAATAAAACAAAAAAATTGCCTTCTTTTGTGATAAAGGGTGTGCTTTTTTGAAAATTTTTTTAACGTTTATTCATTTTTCAGAGATGGAGAGAGACAGAGCGTGAGCAGGGGAGGGGCAGAGAGAGAGGGAGACACAGAATCTGAAGCAGGCTCCAGGCTCTGAGCTGTCAGCATGGAGCCCGATGTGGGGCTTAAACCCACGGACCATGAGATCATGACCTGAGCTGAAGTCAGAAGGTTAACCAACTGAGCCACCCAGGCACCCCAAGGGTGTGCTTCTTATTCTGAAAACAACAGGGAGCTCTTAAAGATTTCTAGGGGAGGAATAATAATGGATTTTACTTTAGAAAGATTGGTCACAGAAACGGATAGAGGAAAAGATTGGAGAGACAAATTAGACTTGGGGAGAAAAATTAGAAGGTGATTCCAATAGTCCTTGATTGAGGGCCTAACACATGTTAGTGCTGATGGGGTCAGAAATGAAGGAAGAGATCTGAGAAATGTTTAGATAAGAGAACTTGATAATTGATATGGTAGCTGAGGTAGAGATGAGAAATCAAAGGTGACCTCCAAATTTTTTTTTTTTTTAGTTTATTTATTTTGAGAGAGAGGGAGAGAAAGAATGAGCAGTGGAGAGGCAGAGGGAGAGGAGGACAGAGGATCCCAAGGGGGCTCCAAGCTGACAGCAGAGAGCCCCATGAGGAGCTTGAACTCACAGACCGTGAGATCATGATCTGGGCACAAGCTGGACACTTAACTGACTGAGTCACCCAGGCACCCCAACCCCCAAATTTCTGGTGTGGGTGACAGAATTAATGGTGTCCTTACTGAGAAAGATAATGCAGGAAACAGATATGATGTGGGCATAGGTTGGAGTAAACAACGATAACAAACTGTCTAGCTTGGGACAAGAGGAAAAGGATACAGATTGGTAAGTGAGCATAATCACTTTAATGTTGTACACAGTTAATAAATACCACTTTGATGTAAAGATACATAGGAAGACTTAAAGAACAAACAAACCCTCCCCCTCCCCCAAACAGATTTCAACAGAAAGGGACTATAAAGTCAGAGATTTGGGGGTCATTTTGTTGTACGCAGTTGAATCATGGAGTGAATGAGATCTTGGCGAGATGGCCCTGAGGAAGACTAACATTTTAGTGATGGTCTGAGGAACAGAGGCAAGGAAAGGAGACTTAAATGGAGCAGTAAAAGGGGGCATGGGGGCTAGAAGAAGGTGGTGTAGAAGCTAAAAGAGAAGAATTTCAAGAAGGAGGAACAATCAACAATTTAGTCCTATGGAGAGGTCAGGTTCAGTGGTTCTTTAGAATCTGGGCCACTGGACCAGCCAAACTCCCTGGGTTCAAACCCAGTCTTTGCTTTTTAACTAGCCTCATGGCCCTGGGTGAGTTATTGATCCTCTCCTAGCGGCATCTCCTCAGCTGTAAAATGGAGATGATAATAAGCCAACCTCCTGGGGTGGTTGTGTGGATTATATGAGCTGATGTACATAAAGTCTTAGAACAGGGTCTGGCCTATGAAGAATAGGGTGTAAGTGTCAGTATTAACTGATGTGGTAAATTTTCAAGTAGGAAAAGCAATTATAAAACAGTCTATGCAGCATGATTCCATTTTAGTAAAAGGGGAAAAAATGAGTACATATATATTCACAGATGAAAGTTTAGAAACTGTTTACAGTAGTTTGATCTCATTTTTTTTTAATGTTGTGAAATTTTTTGCTTGTCATTTGAGAGGGACTTGCCTATGATTTTTCTGTAATGAATATATATTGAGTTTATAATTAAAATTATGCATATATATATATGAGAATAAAGCTCACCACAGCCCAAAATAATAGTAACATAAATGATGCTAATTAAGGGAGAAGCATATATTTTCTTTAGCATCATCACTGAAGCTCTACAAATCCTTGAAAATAGTGGAGTTTCTAGAAGTATTTGACAGTTAATAAATGTAAAGCATTTTGAGTAGTGCCTGACCTATAATAAGTGCCAACTAAATGCTCATTATTAGTATTGATTATAATGTTAAAATGCCTTCTTCTATGAGAAAGGGTGTGCTTTTCCAAAGAAAATCTAGGCCCTTGAGAGAGATCCTATCTCGACTTTGGACAGTCTCTCTCTGGCAGCATATTTCCAGGAATTGGGACCAGGGTTTGGCCATCCTGGGTTTCTCACATTTCTACTACCTGTAATGTAGGAAGTGGGAGACAGGGGACAGTTCTATGATAAGTTCTATTTTAGAAAGCCTGAATGTAAAATGAGGAGAGTACACCTGGTCAAGATCAAGAGTGGCATGCTCCACTGATTGAGCAAGCCAGGCGCTCTTAATTTTTATTTATTTATTTATTTATTTATTTATTTATTTATAAGTAGGAATGGTGGGTTTTTCTAAGTTTATTTATTTTGAGATAGAGAGAGAGAGTGCCAAGCAGGCTTCATGCTGTCAGTGCAGAACTTGATGCAGGGTATGATCTCACCAACTGCAAGATCATGACCTGAACCGAAACCAAGAGTTGGATGCCTAAACAAGTGAGCCACCCAGGTGCCCCTTGATTATAATTATTAAAACACACACACACACACACACACACACACACACACACACACAAGGGGGTCCTGGTTGGCTCAATCAGTTGAGTCTGCAACTCTTGACCTTGGGGTTGTGAGTTTGGGCCCCACTTTGGGTGTAGAGATTACTTAAAAAGAAAATCTTAAAACACACACAAACACACACACACACACACACAGGGGATGGAAGGAAAAGCTTCAACATACATTTATACTTTTGAAAAAAGAATAAATGAAAATATTCCACAATGATACCAAAAGTTATGGAGGTCCAATTTTTACTCTTCTTTCATTCTTTCTGTGTTTTTAATATATGGCTATACACATATTAAAAGTTTTGTTATGAATTATATTATATATATGAGTACAAATAAAATACATGTATTATTTAAAGAATTGCCATATGGGGGCGCCTGGATGGCTCAGTCGGTTAAGCTTCTGACTTCGGCTCAGGTCATTTGAACCCCACGTTGGGCTCTGTGCTGGCAGCTCAGAGCCTGGAGCCTGTTTCATATTCTGTGTGTGTGTGTGTGTGTGTCTCTCTCTACCCCTCCCCAGCTCACGCTCTGTCTCTCTCTCTGTCTCTTTCAAGAATAAATCAACATTAAAAAAAAAATTTTTTTTTTTTAAAGAATTGCCATAGAGGTCATTTTGACTTCCTGACCTTGTAGCTGGCGACTGTCTGCAGTCATTCTGTGTGTTCATGTCTGGGCTGATGCCACCGTGGAGGGGCTGGACAGGCCTAACCCGGTGGCTCCCGGTCCTGCCGATACCCAGATCCATTCCAAGCCATCCTGGGAGGAGCTCAGGACCATGGATGTCGCCATTGGGCTCACCTCCTGCTTCCTGTGTTTCCTCTTACCATGGGGCTGGGTCCTGTCACATCTGGAGAACTACAAGAAGTGGGAGTGAAGGGGGCTGGCCTGTCCCTCACCCTGTCACCTGACCACCCCCGTCCTGTCCTGATCATGTCTGCTACATTCCTGGCCGGCCTTTCCTGGATCATGCCCTTCAATTGCAGTGACCTCTTCTGCAATCATGACCTCTTGATTTCTCCACGGTGATATTCTGGGACCACATATATTGGTTTATAAGGCCCTGCCTGGTAGGGCCCTCCTTGTAACAATAAAGTCTATCTAAACCTTAAAAAAAATAATTGCATAGAAAAATGTATGTATCCAGCATCCAACATTTAAAAAAGCAATCATTGTCAATATATTTGAAATGCCTCAATGGTGCCCAACCTCAGTCATGTCGCCTTCCTCACCCCAGTAAAACCATTACTCTGATTTTTATACTTACATTCTCTTACTTTCTTTCAGTTTTATGATATATATATATATATATATATATATATATATATATATATATATATA